GAAACCAATAATATATTATATGTTAATTAATTGAATTTAAATTTTAAAAATGTTAAAAAAATAAAAATAATTAAAAAATTAAAAACTTCTCCCATTTGAGCAGTTAAACACTTGGCATCTCTGAAAAGTTTGGGACAGCAGGAGAACACAGAATAAACTTTGGAGTGTCTAAAATCTAAGGCCACGGGGACTTCCAGAATATAAAAAAATACAGAAGTAAAAGTAAAGTTTTCTACTTTCATTCAGAGGGGAAGCAAAGAGAGCTTAGATAATTATGTGGCCCGAACAAAGTTGCCTGAGCACTTACTATACCCCTTATCAGACCAAGAGTCTACAGCAGGAGAAAACAATTTCAAAGAGTTGTTGGAAGTTCAGATTACAGGGAAACTACCTCACTGCCCAGTAAAGCCCAAAGAGGTAGGAAGACCCCAGAATTTCCCTGCACATCAGACATGACAGTGGGTGGGTTTAAAACAATGGGCTTGAGATAAGCTTGCAGTTTCTACTTGCACTAGGATAATGCAGGAAGAGAACAAACTTAGAATGAGCCCTTAGCAGCCTATTAACCAAAAGTCAAGGCGTGGCACAGCAATGATCTGGAAAAAAAAAAAAAAAAAGGCAAAGACCAAGGATCCAATAAGTTGATGTACAGCTCAGCAGGTATCAAGGACCTAAGGGTGTTCCAGTATCAATGCATTGTCAGGGCTCTTCAAAGGCCCCTAGAACTTAAACTCACTTCAGGGAAGGGATCAGAACTGTGACTTGACTTAGATTTTCCATTACCCAGTGAAAAGGAGGCTAGAGTAGGTTAAAATAAGTAATAAAAAGTAAAGTTACACTTCCAGCACACCCGATTTTGTCGACTGAGATTTACATCACTACAGAGTAGATGGCATGAAATGATTTCTAACATCCACTGAAACACTTCTATTCCTCACATATCTCAGAATATAAGTCAAGTTGGCTACTCTTTTGTTAGCCTTTATTCTAGCTACTCAAAGTTCAGATTCTCTCAAATTCCCTGAAATTACAGTCTTCTCAGTCTCCTTTCCAGTTAAATCCCCTCCTTATAAAGTCTTTTTCTTTTTACATACACAATTAAATAGGTTTTATCCTACTACTGCTTCAACCTTATACTCATGTTTCTTTTTAGTAAAAGTCTGACATGTTATTTGCTGTGACAGGGAGTATCATTTGTATGAAACATAGAGGATTATTACAGGAAAACAGAAACTAGATTTTATATTTTCATTTGAACGTAAGGAGTCTAGCATAGTGCCAGGCTCTACCATTCACTGTGTAACTTAAGACAAATTAGTAACCTCTCTGAGCTTCAGTTATTTCCTCTGTAAAATAAGGGCAATGACTTGGTTCTTGTGACAATCCAATGAGATCACATATATAAAAGTATTGCAAAATACTTTATTGCAAAAGTTATCCAATTTAGTTATTTAATACATTGAAGCTATTTTGGGGGCAACACAAAGGTTTAGATTGTCACATAAGACTCACATGAATCATAGATCCTACCCAGAATCAAGAGGCATAGGTGAAGCCAGGAGGGCTCTGGGGTATCCCACATAATTCTACAAGCCCTTCCCTTTTGTATACAACAAACTTTCTGGCCCACAGTAACAGACAAGATCCTAGAGAGTATGTTTCATAAATCTACAGATTCTAGGTTTGTTTACCTTTGGCAATCTTAAAACAAGGACATCCTACTATGAGCATTCCATAGATAAGGACTTTCCTGAAAGCAATATCAGGAAGAGAGTTATCATTATATTTATAATATTCCTGAACTCACCTGCCTCATGGAAGAGATAACTTTGAAACTCTGTTACCACTTTAGAAAGCAGGAAAAGGTCTGATTTTTAAAAAGATTCCCCTACAGTAGAAAGACTTGTTCATTTTTTTCAGCTGAAGTCTCTGTTCTCCTTGGTGGTTTGAGTGGCCCTAATGGATCTTTAGTGTTCATGTAATGATGCCAGAGAGGTGCCTATGTCTGAAAATGAGCACATTTCCACCAAAGGACTTTTAAATTACCTTCTTTGAAAAATATTTTTTTAAAAAAGTACTTTTAAAAATGTTTTAATGAATTTTCATTAAAGCTTTGTTTGCCCTTGGTGTATACTCTTTTTAATAAAGTGTGCTAATTTCTCCTCCCTAGATGAAGTCACCCAATTATGTAGTTAAGTATTTGTCTAAAAAAAATTTCTGAGTACAGAACATTACTATAAATCATCTTTGCTTCTCTTCTGTCTTCAGGCATCAAAAAGGCAAATGGAAGAATTCTCGCTGGTTTACAGTGAGAATTTAGTAACATACTGTCTTTAGTAACATATTTTCAAATATCATGGCAAAGAAAATGGTTAGGTATCCACAGGGTTCCCAAATTCAGCCATTTCCCACATATTCTAACACAAAAATACAAGAAGCAAAAGAACTGTTCCACACCTGGAATATTTTCTAAACAACTCGGATTTGCATTCATGGTTGTAAATTTCACCCAGGATAAAAATTAGAGCTAAAGGTATCAATCAGTTTATTGCTATTAAGAAGATAAAGTCTCCTAACAAAAATGAGAATTAACCCAAAGAAAAAAATACACAGAGTATTATTTTAATGCCTCCAGGTTTGGCATTTATTTTTATCCTCTGTTCTACTCATCCCATTTCATCTCTTCTCTGCTTCCACTTCGAATGATTTCTAAGAAGCTAATGACACTTTCAGATTGTCCCCACTCCCTTTCTATAGAATTGATTCTCAATTGTGAGCCAGGACAGAACACATTCTCCACATCTGTACAAACTCTTGTGTTCCAGCACCATGTGTGCTTCTCTTGTCTTTAGCAAGGTATATATTTTTCCTTTCCTTTTAGGTTCCAAAGCTAGTTAGAGATGGAAAGATAGGCTATGCAAACAATTGCAGATAAATGCTCCCCAAGGGTTCCTTATCAATCTGACCTGTATGTCGTCTATCAAAAGAATAAAAACAATGAATAATAAATCTGATATGTATCCAGATTATCTTTGATTACAAAAACTAATATAAATTACAATTTTATTTTTCTCAAAGATTTATTTTTTATTTGAGAGAGAGTACGAGTGGGGGTAGTGGTAGAGGGAGAGAATCTCAAGCAGACTGCCTGCTGAGTGCAGAGCCCAACTCCAGAGTAGATCCTAGGACCCTGAGATCATGACCTGAACGGAAATCAAGAACCGGCTGCTTAACTGACTGAGCTTCCCACGCACCCCTATAAATTACAATTTTAGACTAACTGAATTTAAATTTAGAAAAAACGCTAATTGAATTTAAATTAAAAAAAGAATCCAATAAATAAATAAATAAATAAATTGCAATTTTAAAAACATTTGTTTAAAACTCTGGACTTGTACAATTTAACTAGAAGTATAGAAGTATGCTAGCAATAGTATGAGAATAATGAATGGGAAAACAATATGTTCTGCAGAAAAATCTAGAGGAGAAATAAAAGTACATAGAAGTAAAAGAAAAATAATTTTCCAGGGGGATTAAACAAATTTAAAATACTGTATATATTATTTTTGCACAAAAATTCAAAAAGTCTTAACTGTTGACAAGATTGCTTATCTAGTCCAACAGTTTATTTCAATTAGACTTTCCTATTCTTCCTAGTATAATAGTAATGTATCTAATGGTAATCATATCAGCAGAAGAAAATACAGCTTCAATATTGATGACCAACTTTTGATTTTTAGTAATGTATTTATTTACTTTTTCATATCTTGTTTCATTGCAGGTCAGTCAAATTTATTTCTAAATCTAGACTTGCAGGCCCCTTTAATCAGTAAATATTTATTAACTGAATGCATTAAGCATAGCATATACTCACCTATAATGCCTGATTTAAATTAGAGACACTATTTTTATTATACTTATGTGTGTGTATATATTGTTTCTTCCTTTGAATACATGACAATTAATCTTTAGAAATGTACTTATTGTGGTAATATACTGAAAACATTTTCCAAAACCGAGTTTTGACAAAAGATCTGGAAAAAAACAGATAGCCTTCTTGCCAGATTGCAGGTGCAAGGAAGAAGAAGGGACAAAGCTAAGTCAGATGCAAGGGATCTAGGAGGCAGGTATGAGAGACAGACAGCAGCAAGAAGTTCACTGGGAGGAAATGGATAGATTTGAGAGAGAAGAAAGTAAGCAGGCGACAAGAGAAAGCAGTCAGTAAAAGGGAGTCCCCACTGGGAGATATCTGTAGAAAACATCTGTAGACACTTCTCCATCACTGCCAGGAAGGAGAATCCCTGCCACAGAGACACACAAAAAGGCTTAACTACCTGTGGTATTTGGTTGAAGGGCATAAACAATGCTCAGTGCACCAGCCTCTAATTACTCTATGACAACCCCAGTTCCGCCCTCCCAGTGGAAAACATATGTCAAAGCATTTAGTATTGATTGAAACATAAGGAAATTCTTTGATTCATCTCCTTCCCCACAACAAGCCTGCCTTATTTCACCCTCATTTGTCTGAGGAAAAAGAAAAGTAAGTATTTCCTTTCAAGGAGAGATAGGAGATGGCTCTGATCCATTTATCATATAACTGTTTTGCTTTGCTTTTGTACCTGAGGTTAGAAAAATTCTGCCAACGCTGCCTGTCAGACTGGCACTGAATGCAACAGTAGGTATGACAAAGGTACTAGCAGCTGGAAGGGTGCACTGTCTCAAGTGTTAGTACTGATGACGGGGCCAGCCACCTGGAAGACTGAACGAGTCATTAGAAGACCAACTGAAAAACTGAGTAGCATAAAAAGTTTAGTGGCTTTCCAGCACCACTCAGCAAGTCAACTGTGAAAAGAATCACCACCACCCACCCACCCCCACCGCCTTGCTCCCTTTGAACATCTTATCCTTCCCGTGCTCCATATTATCCCATTTACAGCTCATTCAGGGCTAATGTAGCAAAGGAAACATGGAGAAGTTGGAGACAGAGCGAAATCTTGCAAATGAAAAGAAAATTCTTTATTATGACAAGTGGCATTCACAGTTTCAAAAAAGAAAAATATGTTATAGATTTCTGTGCACACATTACTACCCCTGGCCCATTCAAGTCATTCAATCTCACTCATGGAGTGAGTACATTTTGTGGGTCAATCACAGGCACGTTTGTGTGGATGGGCTGCTACACAGAGCCAGAGTCTCCAGGTCAATGATGAGCCAGATGCTGCCAATGGTGCCATTCTCAGAGTTACTGCTTCTGAGAGCTGGTGCTTTTGAAGTATGGCCGGCTGAAAGAAACAAGCAACCACAAAAAATATAATGGAGCCCATAAGAGGCCTCGGCAAAAAAAATGCACATATACAATTACCTGATTGTTAGGCTTTACATTCAGTTTCAGGAGTCTGCATTATCTTGACAATGACTTGCTGAGCGGTGCTGGAAAGTCACTAAACTTTTTATGCTACTCAGTTTTTCAATCTATAAAATAACTTAATAAAAGCAATTTGATATAGAATAGTGTTCCATATAAGCAGGTGTCCTTGAAACCATTCACTTTAAGAGATCAAATAGATTAGCTTCCTATTGACAGCCTCACATACTATCACAGAAAGTATCTATGAAGGACAACAATCAAATGCCTAGGGCATTCATAAAACTAAGTTCAGAGTTAGTTGGCATTTGAGAAGGCCTCTTCTTCTCCTCCCTTGCTCAGGCCCTCAAATTAGGAAAAATCCAGAATCCCAAGCCTTTAGATGAGGAAAAGAATCAAATTGCCCTTCCACACACAGCCAAAAACAGTCACAAAGGTGGATCCACTGTGACTAACAACTGAGTCAAGAATTGAGGCCAATAGAAAAGAAAAACTAAAATGCTGCCCCATAAGCAATCCAACTTCTTCCATTCAAACCACTTTGGGCTCAGTGCAGAATTATCTGGGAAATAAAAGATTTTTAAAAAGAGAAAGAACAAGCCCAGGAACAAAGGGCGAAAAGGGGATGAAGAGTAGTTTATGGAATACATTCAATCACACTTCTTTTTCTCCCAGCCATAACTATAATCTCAAACTACTACTCTCATAAGGACAAAAACCACTCATATTTTTTTATGAACATGTCCCCTATCCAACCCACTATCTTCTCATTCTCACCCAGCTTTCAATGAAGTACGATGCAGACGTAGTAGATGGTTCACTGGTTCAGAAATGTTACCTGACCTGTAAGTCCAATCATCTGAATCCAGTGATTACTCTTGGAAACAAGTATCACTTTTCTATACTTTGATTTTACATAATTTGGCAGAAGAACAGATTGAGAGAAATACATAGCCCTTGGAACATATAGAAGCACAACAATTTACATCTGTATCTGTACCCATGCATGAGTTTTCTTTAATCTTTTTCAAAACTTGTTTCATACTTCTGTACAGATAAATTTATAGGGTGAAATTTCATTTGCACATAGATTTAAATAACTGATATAAATTCTACCCTCCTTATTAGATGGTAAACTTCTTTAAAGCAAAGACTTCTATTTTACCTCCAGTTCCCAATAAATGCTCATAGATGAAGGGGTATATATTTTTAGAGCCAGTCTGTTAAGGTAGTTCATCTCTTGACATTGCTAATTTTATACTCCTGTGTTTAGTCTTTTGTTTGTTTGCTTTTGTTAATATGAACCATCTGTGCCTCTCATCCTGTGTTTTTAAATAAGCTACCTAATTGTAGGGTTTTAAATTTTTATATTTTACCTTCAAGCCTGCTGTTGATCATTTTTGTCAAAATTGAATGCCTGCCCTTTAAAAGGTCATTTCTGAGGTTTAAACCTGTTGGTTTGTGTTATTACAGCAAATCTCGCCCCAGAATGTTTGGTGTTGTACAATAACCACCCATCCACTGCTGTGTGGAATGAATAACTAAGTCAAAAGCCACTATTTCCTCTTAGTTGTGAAGATCAACTTTTAAACATGCACACAGTCTGTGGTTTGCCATTTCACATTTTTCAAGCAGTTAGCCAGTAATATTCCAAAGAAACTTTACAAAGGCAACCCCTTTTAGACAACTTTTTGAAAGGTAGTATTGTTACACAGGACGTATGATAAGACAATGATAAATTTCAGTAATACAGTCAATAAATTATGTCTCTAGTCATAATTTTCCTTGGCCTCATAGTTTCAACAACCAAATTATCCTTTATTTGTATTTGACAAGGTAATACTATATTATTCTGTGGAAAGAGAATATTTGTTCTTTCTAAAAAGAATTGGAAACAATCTAAATTATAAGCATATTACCAAAAAAATGTATATGTGAGAATAGAACAAAATTGGATTTCAGAAAAGAAATAAAAAACTTTTAAAGATGAGAAACCATTTTTTTTTACCAAGAATGGAGCTTAGTTATAACAAATGTGTACTAAGTTTGACCGTAGGTTTCTAGGAAGTCAGTGGTAAAGGGTTGTGGGAAGAACTAGTGTGTTCTCTAATTCCCACTAATCATTTAAGAAACACATACCATCACCCTTTTCTTGATAACTGCCAAGTTAACAGGTGTCCCAAAAATGAATATTGGAATGGCCTTTTGGTATTGATAACTATGACCTAATGGGATCAAGCGCTTTAGCCTGGAGAAATGAAAGAGTCCAATAATTCTCAAAATTATTTACAGGTCCAAGAAAGTGCCCAATTTTGGAAATTAGTAGTAAGATTAATACTAATAATGTTAGAAATAATAAGGAACTAGTATACTGGTCTACATATTGTAAGAATATTAGGTATATAATTCTAGATCCTGAAAGACAACCATCTCAACATGACAGGTATTTCAGTCACTATATCTTTTTTTAGGATATACTCTATGGAGTGCAACTCAAAAATAATATTTGTTTTGGGTTGATGTTCTAAAAATAAATATAAAATTGTGTTGTTTTCTTTAAATTAGTTATCTGGGAAGGTTTAAAATACAGACAGGGCTTCAAATATTACTAGAGTATTAATATAGGAATTATCTTTAGAACTAGTTTTACAAGAACACAAGACTTATGTTTTATTAAATGCATAGTATTCCATGGTCATCTTTCTCATTTTCATTAAAGAGATGTAATGGCAAAATTATGAAGATGGGAGCCAGACAACTCTGAGTTTGAAACCCACGTCCACTACATATTTCCAACCCAGGGCATATTACCTAAGTACTTGGCATTTCTATTTCATAGTCTGCACGAGAGTTTTAACACAGACCTGGAAGACTTTTGTGAGGGTAAAATTATGTAAGAAACACTGTTCACAGTCTCTTATCTCTTATCTGCTTTAAAAATCTTATCTGTCCATAAACAACCTCTCCACAATTATATAGAAGGCAAAAGCAGAGACACTTCTTTTGAGTTTAATTCTGGAGATCATTTTACTAAGATTGCTAGCGATAAAAACAATACTAGTGGCCAGAGGAAGTTTTATTTTTTATCACCAGTATCAATGAAATTCTATTTTCTCTGAGCATTTTCTTGGTTCCTCCCTACTCCACTATTCTCTTCCTCTCTACTTCACTTTTAGCTTCCTCCAATTACACATAATCTCTGTCCTTTTGCCATACCACAATTATTAAAGAGGGGAATATGGAAGGAAAGGTAAACTAATATGTCTCTTGGTATCAACAAAAGCATGTATTCCTAAAAGGAAATCTGTTTTCAAGTAAACCAAATATTTTCAGCAAATCAACGTATTTTGAAGCTGTGACATCTGATACTACCTCAAAAACTAACTTACTACCTTTTTATTCATATTAGTAACTGACTCTCAACAAACACTCTAAACATAACCTTTCCTTCCAAAGACATAGTAAGGGTCAAAAATGAAGTGGATATAAGGAATATCTTTGTATACTTTACTTGGTCTTAAATAGTGCTTTTCTACTTTCACACATTAAAAGGGGGCCTCATCAGTTTATCCTGTTTTTTTCAGCAAAAGTATATAGTTCCCATTCTAAAATTGTCTGATTAAAAAAAAAAAAAGTTTTGCTATTGGGATGCTTACAGATAAAAGATAAAAAAAAAACTACATAAATAATGTTAACAGTATGTAATATGGTGTCAGTTAGTGGTTCTCACTGATACTTTATAGAAAAAGAAAGCATTGTACATTACCAGTAATAATTTCAATTGTGTTCATGGTAATTAAAATATTTAAAACATAAATCCAGATGTAAACTCCTCACATAAACATAAAATCAAAAAGATGAAGTCAATATAATCAAAGCTATAAAGCAATAAATTAAAATTAATACTAATTTAAGGTAATGTCTGATGATGCTTTGCTTTAGTCAAATTACCAGATCCAACATGTTTACAGTACTGGCTACTATAACACAGTTTTTCATACGTTCAGTGTAACTACACAACTGCTTTGTGTAATGGCTTCTTTCTTCCCACTATTTTATGAGATGTCTATTAGCCACACAAAGGGCACAGTTGGTAGGCAACTGGACAGAGAAATCCAGAGTTCTGGGAAGTGGTTTAGGCTGGAAATATTAAGCTTACAAGTTGAACACAATTTTGTGGTATTTTGTGAGATAATGGGAGGAATGAGGGTAGAGAAGAGGTCCCATAGCCAAAGAATCATGACTGGAATCACAATAAAATAATGATCCAAAACCACCAAGAAAAATAAATGCCTCTGTGTATCTAGATACCTCTGTCCCTTTCATCACCTGTTTATGGGCTTACCTATATCTTCAGTTCGGATTAGTGGGTTTTAAACTATAGGAGGAGGGGACTACAAATTGTCTCAGCAGGTGACAATAAGGAATGGGGAGAACAAAGGGAAGAGCGTGAGAGACACTCCCCACCACTGCTTCAAGTGTGCAGGACTTCATCTGCTTTTATAGATTAGTGAGCTAAAAAAATATTTCACTTAAAGAATGGGGTCTGTGGCTAGAAAAAAATGGATTAATTCTCACTGTATGTCAAGAAATAGAGACAAACTTGAGTTACCTTATATAACAAGAAATGTACCGTAAGGATTACACAGCTACAGAAACCCAGGACAATCTGGAGCTCAGAAGGATAAAATCCTGGTGACATGGTAGAATTTACACCAGTGTTCTCGCATTACCTTAACTTAGGGTGTTTTTTTGTTTGTTTGTTTTGTTTTTGCCAATTATATACTCCATCGTCGCTATTCATACACCTTGAGACAGATCTATAATCCTTTCTCCTCTTTGTAACCACTTGATTACTCACAATTCTACCGCCTCAGAACTTTGATTTATGATCATCACTCAGAGTTCTATTTCTAT